TACTATATATATATATATATATAGTATTTCTCTCTTCTGTACGTCGTCTGTGTGCTGTATGTTGTCCTTTATTCTCCAGTTATGAGCTGTATTTTTAGTGAACAAACATCTAAATCTCTGAGACAATAAAATGGATTATAAATGTAAGGTCACACAAACTACAATAATATCGACAGCCCAGTGTTTCAGTCGTTTGTCAGACTGCTAGTGGGAACTGAAAAGTTAGGCTCTAAATATTCTTTTAGCTGGTGTAATTTGTAGTGAATTGTGTCATGTTAATTATTCTTTATTATATGGTAAAAAAATGTAATCACTGGAATCAACTTTTCAAAATGTCTGGTTTAGTGATGTTGAGATAAACGTAGATAAACTATCTGTGCTTCACTCGTTACACCAGTGACAGTACGTTACAGAATACTAACTGTGCTTCATTTGTTACACCAGTGACAGTACGTTACAGAATACTATCTGTGCTTCACTCGTTACACCAGTGACAGTACGTTACAGAATACTAACTGTGCTTCACTTGTTACACCAGTGACAGTACGTTACAGAATACTAACTGTGCTTCACTTGTTACACCAGTGACAGTATGTTACAGAATACTAACTGTGCTTCACTCGTTACACCAGTGATAGTACATTACAGAATACTAACTGTGCTTCACTTGTTACACCAGTGACAGTAGTACTGTCACTGGTGTAACAAGTGAAGCACAGTTACTATTCTGGTTACAGAATACTAACTGTGCTTCACTTGTTACACCAGTGACAGTACAGTATGTTACAGAATACTAACTGTGCTTCACTTGTTACACCAGTGACAGTACGTTACAGAATACTATATGTGCTTCACTTGTTACACCAGTGACAGTACGTTACAGAATACTAACTGTGCTTCACTTGTTACACCAGTGACAGTATGTTACAGAATAGTAACTGTGCTTCACTTGTTACACCAGTGACAGTACAGTATGTTACAGAACAGTAACTGTGCTTCACTTGTTACACCAGTGACAGTACAGTATGTTACAGAACAATAACTGTGCTTCACTTGTTACACCAGTGACAGTACAGTATGTTACAGAACAGTAACTGTGCTTCACCCGTTACACCAATCACTTCACTGATTGGTAAGCTGACTTATAATGATTGTTCAATTGCATGGTTCATTATCCTTGGCCACCTAGTGTTGCTTGATTCAACTATCTCGCATATGAGGCATTCTTTTATAATTATTATTGCGATCATTAAAAGATTATTTAACGCTGGAGGTAATGGAGAGAGTAGGTGGCAGTTATACATGTTTTTATGGATATGTCAGTGTCCAAGTTGTACATTTTTCTAAAATGTCTTGCTTTACTCCGTCTTTTGCTAACTCGGTATTTAGCCTTAATAATTATTTTAAATTTGGGATTATTTTTTTTCCACATATTTTATTTTTATTGTCAGATATTAAATAAAAGTATGAGTGAAAACCTGCATAAACTATTCTTGTATTTAGGTTCGGTTAAT